AGGTTAGTCTAACTGAGCGTAACCCCGCGAACTACCGAAAATTTCTCTGCAAGCTACTAATAGCTCCCGATCGACGGTTTGCGATCTCTGCATTAAACATTCATATTGAAATAATTCGACATTTCGTCCAAGAAAATTGTAGCCCTCCTAAAGGACACATAAAGATAATTTTAATCTACAATTGAATATATAAATACATTAAATTTATTTAATTTAATTATTATTTATCAGTACATTAAATAATTTAAAGGATAAAAATATGTTTTATTCTTCACGGAAAACAAAAAGTTACGAAATGTATATTACAAAAAAATAAAAAAACAAATACACAAAAACCTAATACATCGAGCTGTTTTGTTGCTTGCTAAATGAAACCCTCAGTGGTTCAGTTGCCATCACATTCATTCTTTTTTTACTTTCTCGTACATGTTATGTACATAATAGAGTATGTATTGTATGCTGCAAAAAATCGATGACCATATTTGGACAGAAAAACATTCTGGGGATCCCTGATACCGTAAAAGATTTTTTAAACGTCTGCCGGTCAGACTATCTGTGGGCAAACCGTTAAAATAAATTTCTTCGAAAAGTATACTCCCCAAACGCCCTGGCCGCACTTGACTTCATTTGAAGGTGTACCATGACCCTAGGACATTTTTAATGTTTTTCAAAAGCGTCTCCTTTACTCGTATATGCCATATAGATACATACATCATTGCTAGTTTTAATTTCTATACATGTCCTATTCTTTTGCAAATCATCTGAAATTAATAAATAAATACCTTTAACAGAAAAAATAAATAACAAACATTCGCCCCCTTCCGGTTCACAATTAAAATACTTTCTCTTGTTACATATGTAAGAGCGAGAAAATAACAATCAACACTAACAAAATTTAGAATATGAATGAGGTTATCTGGTAAAACAAGTTAAATTAAATAAACAATACAACACATTAATTAAACTATGACAGATAAATTAGGATATTACACAGAAAGGGAAAAAAATAAATTAGTACCTGAAAATAAAATAACTCGATCAACGATACTCCTGCAAACATAAGCAACATACATTGGAGACGCTAGCGCGGCACACAAGCAGAGTGTAAGGAAAAATTTGCCAGGGGAAGGTGACTCAAAGTTCCATCTTGATGCGAGCATGTGCTGTGGAAACAGCAGCGCTGTTATCGTGCGGCTGCCCCAACCACGCTACACATTGGAAAATCTCTTCCCACAGTGTGGTGGGAATGCACATTTCTCGTCCAATATAAACCCGGTTCCCAATAGTTGATGTATACAGTGTCCGAAAGCTATAGTGACAAAAAAATACTCTATATTCTACGGAGAGTTTAAAGGAGTATGGTAGATCCAGTCCCCCCCCCCCCAAAAAAATAAAAGCTTTCAGGAAAATTGGGTGTAAATGTCACTTCATGTGCGCAATTCAAACAGGCTGTCGCACCATCGCAGGCACCGAGGGTTTGCGAAGACTTTGGGTGTTGCTTTGTTTCTCTGAATGTATGTGAACGCTAGAACTGTCGAATTTGTGAGGAAAATGTCGTGGGTCCCACTCTAGAATTTTTATGAATTCGAGTGGGTACTGTTCATTCAATTTATTAAATTTATTTAAGTTGCAGTTTTGTTCAAAATGTTAAATGTGACGCAGCGTAACATTGAACGCTGAACACTACCCAAGACATACGGAGATTAAAGAAATTTCTCCTAATAAAATAATGTTTCTCGTATAATTCGTAAATGCTTTTTACGAATTGCCGTCCTTCTTCAAGTATATTGTTGATCCCGAGAAGAAAGTATTTCTATGTTTAGGAGTGATAAGGTAATGTAACTTTTTATTATTTGGTGCTGAAATATTCTTGTCTGTTTTTTGTTTTGTTTTTGTTTGTTTGTTGTTACGAATCTAGTTATTTTTCAGTTTTGAAGTTGGCAGAACCGATCCGCCGTACATTTGGTAATATTGATTCCCTACTATCGCGCATTCTGTGGGACGCGGTCGAAGGCTTGCCTTGTTGTTCGATTGTTTTGGTTCCTATACAGTAGTTTACCGTAAATAATAGTAAGTTTTAAGTTGTAAACAATGTCTGAATATGACAAAGTAAGAAGCGGTAGATTGCTTCTAAAGGGTGAGAAGCCTAGGTAAATTAAATTATTTGATCGTTGTTTTATAGCACTTTTTTTTCTCGTACGAATATATTTTTCTGATGAAAAGGTTATGTTGATACAGTGTTAATCAATTTTCAGTTCACATAAAAAAAGAAAACGGAAAAAAGAAGGAAGAGATAAACAAGAACGATCGACACAGGACGATGATGTTGGGAAACACGGTATTTCTAGGCTTCTTGTGGTTTTAGTAATAGGGCATTTTTTATTAAATTTGGTAAAAATGTTTCATGATTAATCATTGCAGGTGGTTGGTGGAAAGTAAAGCGTTTTGAAGAAATCACAGGCTCTATTGGACTTGAATTTGGAAATCAAACTTATGTGAAGGCCTTAGATAATGGTTTGTTTACTCTTGGGGCACCTCATTCAGAAGGTAATTGCGTCTAAGTTACTTCACTGCAATTGAGTGTTAAATTGGGTAATATCCTGTCAAATATACTGAAGTTCTTTTAGAATAAATATCATAATATTTATTTAATTTACAATGTACAATAATTGTAATTGAATTAATTTTGAAGTTTTATACAATTTTTTCATATATATCTAATATATAGAAATGATAAAAAGAAATTCTGTTTGCCCTCAGTTTACTTCTTGTGCAGTCAATTATAATAAAAATTCTTAGGTTCTCTGAAAATATTCAATAAATATTCAATATTTTATAAATATACTTATAAAAAAAAGCTGTGTGAATTCTCTTACTGATGTTCCTATGCAAAAAAGACTCATTTCAACAAAAGCAGAAGTGTGAAGGCGAATTTTCTTGCTTAAATTTTATGCACTTTACAACGTTTAGGTGAAGGACCTTCGCCTGAAGAAATATTGACAGCATTTAGAATCAATGATTCCAAAATTGCATTGAAGTCTGGATATGGCAAATACCTGTGCGTTGGCAAGGATGGAGTGGTCACTGGTCGTTCGGATGCAGTTGGTGCAATGGAGCAATGGGAACCAGTGTTCCAGGTGAGGAAATTTGAAGGTCATGTGAGAAAAACCAGCGTTGTTATAATTACTTGTGCCATATGTGTAGAATTGGGGTTAAAGTAGGTTACACGGTACATCCTCGGAGATGTGCTGTGATGGGGGGAGGGATCTCCTTCAGCCCCCTCAAATTACGCTACGCGCTCTGCTAGAAAATGATAAAAACTTACGGATAGACGATTTTCATGGCTCGCCCTTCATACACTTTGTCCCCGCCGCCGTATTGTAATGCCAATTTACTTTCAACGGCAAGTTTTCTTGCTTCGCTCGCCCGGATCCAAGTCACGGCGAGGCTCGGGCCTTCGGTCCTCGCGTTCACTATAAACATCCTTGAGCCTATCCACCGAATAATTACCAACTCATCTTTATAAGAAAGCACTTTTCAAGAAAGCCACCAGAATTCAAAGTACGCAGTTGGCGCGGCGCGAAGTGCCGGTTCAAAAGACTTCCGAAGTTGTACCGTATACTCGACTTCAGCCAGACTTGGAAATCTTAACTTTTTTTTTTTAATTAATATTGTATTGTGGATTTTATATATAAATTTAATGAATAATTAATGTATTATAAATTGTTGAAACAAATAGTATTAATGTGTCTGTTTGGGAAGGGAAAAATCAGTATATTTTTCCATTTCTAGTGTATCTTTCTATGGTATGGTATTATTTTATCCAGTTTTAATTTCTAGTATTAAATGCTAAATGTTAATTCCTTGATATTTTAGTTGCATTAATAAATATTTGCTCATTTACAAGGGTGTGTACAAGTGAAAACATAAGGTATGATACACTTTCAAACTTTTTGGAATTTGTAACTTATGAAAAACTTTTATTTTAGTGGCTACGTAATTGCCTCTGTCCAATGAATCTGCTGTGAGTTTATGTATTGCTCCATACAGATTTGGTTGTTTGAATTCTTTACTATTTTTGCTGCACTACAAATTCTGCATGTATCCATACATAAATTGTACATTTAAAGTTTATAATAATTATACAATTTTTGTTTAATAGTTTATACCGTAATTACATTAATGAGAAATAGAAGTTAAATAGGGATTGTTGATAATATTACTTAGAGTATATGCAAGAACTCTGTCTTTACATGTCATAGTTTTGTGTCACTTTCAGGTCCAAAATACGTAGTGATTTTTATTAAATTTTTTAGACCAACGCACTAATTCATCATTGCAATTTTACTCTGTGAGAGTGGCTCTAGTCGTGGGCATCATGTGTTTCAGGAGGGGAAAATGGCTTTGTTAGGGTGCAATGGATGTTTTATGTCTGTGGCACAAGATGATGATTCGGTTGTGGCAGTGAGTAAAGTAGCTCGTGAGGATGAGATGGTTCAAGTGAGGTCGATGGCGACAGCAGACAACGAAAAGAGTGTGGACGTCCCTTCAGAGGAGCAGGGCAGCCTTGCAGAAGTAGAAGTGAACTATGTGTAAGTGCATGTTTGTGTGTGTGTGTGTTCTTTTACCTTTCCAAATATATATATAAATTAAAATTGAGTTATTTTCTTTTCAGGCGGAAGTTTCAAAAATTTCAGGACAAAAAATTACGAATTAACAAGAATGATCACAGTGAACTTGAGCGTGCTAAAGAATCAGGGACACTTCATGAAGCTCTGTTGGACAGACGCAGCAAAATGAAGGCAGATAGATATTGCAAATAAAACAAAACGTGTGTAGATAAATCTGACATAATATACAAATGTATGAGACTCTTGTAATGATTTCTTTATTCTTGAATAATATATTATTTTTAGATTTTGTGGTTTTGTTCTTTCCTCAATTCACATTTTTCAATATTCAAATAAAATGTTAAGAAACAAGGTTGAATGCTCTGAAAATTGAATGTTGTAATGTAAATAACAAGATTCAGTTGTTTGATGTTCGTGGTAACTCATCTAACCAACATTATGGTTAGGTTTTATTAAGCTTCAAAATCTATTGTACATCACTTCAATGCAACGCTGCAATACTTCACTTAACAAATTTATAATATTTGTATTGTTTTTAAGTTTTTAATAAAAGAATTTGTTTATTGGAATATTATCCAAAATTGTATAAGTGAGGTCTTACACAATAGTATGATCCTGCAATTAGTGTGAATACAAAGCCATCAGTAGGTCAATGATTATTGCTGTAGTCAGGTTGAGAATACATTTGAAACGTGTAAGGATTTTCAGTTAACTCATTTTGTAATTTTATTTGGGATTGCATTCTGTTCAATAGCATGTGTACCATACAACTGGCTTTTACTTACCAAGCATATAATAACATTATGCCATAACACAAACTGTAAATAAAAAAGATTCACAAATTTACTAGCGAGCAGCCTTTTCCTTGGAGTCTGGATGTTACATGACATCAGCTGCACCCTAAGTAGGGGTGTTATGAGTATGCAACTGAAGACAGTATGCACTGTATCAGAATAGGCAGGATGACACAATCTAGTATCCCCATTTTTCAGTCAAAATTGAAATTGTTTCATTGTTTTGACTTTCTCATATCCCTACATAACAAATTGTTATTCGCTTCCAGATTTTGTCTCGCTCAAGTGTGGGGTGAACTAGTTGAAGGGGTTAATTATTAGTAAGTTTTAATTTTCAGATTTATGATCCATTACACTATTAAATGCCAACACATTTAAATCAATAATATAAAACTTTTAACTCATGAAAAATAGTTACCAAAAGCAGTTCGGTAGTTCAATTTATATAAATTACTGTCAGATTTGTTAATGAATGAGAGATGTTATTTATTATTTTTTTAAATTGAGGTATTGTTTAATGATCTCCACATGGGTTCTCTTTCATTTAAAGGCTAAATGTTTACTGGAGTGCAAGTAGAATAATAATTTGTTTCACCCCTGCTGTGATCCGTGAACTACCATATTATTTACGTTCAAGCCTCTAGTAGTAGTAAGTTGTTTAAGTAACCATTCCCTACACATGTTGAACATTATTTTGTAGTTGTTCAATTCTTATCGTTTTAGCAATATTATTACATGCTACTACAATGAACAGTAGTTTTTCATTACTTTTAATTCAAAAGTGGAAGTTGAAAAACTTCTAACACTAGGACTCATTCTCTTCTAAACAACTCCAGTTTTCACCTTGATAGATTTAAAAAAAGGTCGTCTTAAAAATATACGTATACAAATAGCAATGCAAGTATTAACGATGAAAGATATATGGTGTTAATGTCGTGTTATTCAGTTCATTATGCACCAAACACACAAAAAATTAAAGGAAAAAATTTGGAGCCATTTTTGAGAAAATTTTGAAAATGTCATGGAGACTATGTAAAGTAATACCAACATTAACAGATTATTTTTGAAAATTGCAGAACTTTTAGTCGGGCCAAATCAACCTGACAACATTTTTTTAGGAAAAAAGCATATGAATAGTTTAGGCATTATACGATTAGAAAAAAACAAATTTTCAATATCAGAGGACCCTAAAACACGTTTTTTCCATTGAAATCAATTTTCACAGCATTATATAACTCTCTACAGTACATGTATTACTCCATATATATATATATGTAGATATATGAGAAAGTCAAAACAATGAAACACAATTTTGACTGAAAAATGCGAATACTAGATTGTGTCATTCTGCCTATTCTGATACAGTGCATACTGTCTTCAGTTGCATAATTATACCATCCCTACTTAGGGTGCAGCTGATGTTATGTAACATCCAGACTTCAAGGAAAAGGCTGCTCGTTAGTAAATTTGTGAATATTTTTTATTTACAGTTTGTGTTATGGCAGAATATTTTTATATACTTGGTAAGTAAAAGTCTTTTGTATAGTACATATACTATTGTGCTATAGTATTTTATTGTAGAATTCGTAGACTGTTTTTGTCACAATATTTAAATGATTGCAGTATACGACGGTATTTTATGTGTTGTTCCTGAGCAGGGTGCGTTGTATGTTTTCTAAAACCTTTATTTTGGATAGATTTGTTCAGAAGCATTTTTGCTTTTGCAGGCCTCTAGATTTATTTCTACAGTAAATGTATAAATTGAAATATTAGATATTGGTAGCATTAAAACAATGAGAGATGTATTCATTTTCAGTTATATTTCATATTATTTAATATTTCTCAGCATTCAGCAATATAATGAAATTCATTTGAAATTTTTGTCTTTCATTTACTTAGAAGCAATTGATGAAATAGTTTATGGCACTCGAGATTAAATAGGATTTTATTCACTCTTGAAATTTAGCTCTCATTACTTATTGTCATCTCAAGTGCTTTATTCTTGTGAATAAAATTTTATTGCACTCTCTAGTAGAATAAATTTTTACAAGTATTAAACTATTTGAGTAAAAATGTGGATTTTGAAAATGATTTTTGTTTTCATGTAATCCTCTCTTCCAGTTTCAAAGTTTCTATTTGACTCATCAGAGAATGATACCAATATGTTTGAAAATAAGTGATTAAGTTTAAAAAAATGTGATGTATGATAAGTGATGCAATTGCTGTAACAAACCCGAGTTTTCCTGTTGTTTTTGAGCAGAAAGTAAATTTGTCAAATATTGGAGAATACATTTTTTTTTAAAAAAAAGAAAACTTAAATCCATAAAAGATTTTTATATATTATGTAAGGCATTCAACACCCAAACAGTCTTGACAAGATAACATGTAAACAATGACAATTTGTTAAATAATTGGTACTGAATAGCAATAATTGCAAAGGTGTTTAGTGCAACATTTCTTTCACATTTTCTTATGATGTTAAATAAAGTTATCTTCTTACAGTTACGTAAGAAGATAATTCTTCTAGTAACAGTAAAATATCAATTATGTTTACACATATAATCAAAAGGACACTTCTACATAGTAAATGATGGTGCATTGCTGAACTCATTGTTACTATTATTGTTGATATTATTATCATTATAATACGGAAAATACACAGTTTCACACATTGCTTATTGCATAATAGATATTTGCAATAATACCACTACTTGCATACAATATAGACTAGGAGAACTATATGGAATGATACAAAATATTATTCACGAACACTAATTAACAAAATTCGCTGTATTTCATACAATTTTTAACCTGGACTCAGTCTTAATGTTTATGTATGTATATATAATATATGGTAAGCATTATTTAGATGCGAGTAAAAATCTGAGTACAAATGTAAGTCTTTGCTTTCACAATACCCTGAGGGTGAGGATGAGAGAAAAGTGACGACTGCTGATTGCTTTCTTCACTTGGTGAAGTCTCTTTGTTGAGATCAAGCATTTGTTCTAAATAACACTTACTGTACATTTCTAATTGTAAATATTAGTTTTCTTATGATTCAAATCACACAATTTATGTACATTCGTAACTTATCAGTTATGCATCCTATAAATTACTTTTACAAAAAGCACCTTCCTTCAAATGCACATAATTAAATACAACTTTGGTATTGCAAACACACACTAACATGCACATTTATATCACAGAAGTATTGTGCTCATCTGCCTTTGTTTGCGCCCGAAGAGTATCTTGATTGATAGGAGCTGCTCCATGCACTAGTTGTTCATTTCCATCTCCTCTTGGAATGCTGTGGCGTAGCGTTCTTCGTAAACTACTTCTAAGAATGTGAGCAACATCTGCTGCTGTTAGGGTAGACATTCTGTTATCCCCCAGTGTTCTAGTGTGCGATGCTTGACCAGTATTGCCTGAAACTCGAGTGTCCACTCCTGTCCTTGAACTACCCTGATCCAAATTTATTGTCACATTCATGGAGTCTAGAGTATTTTGATCCCGATGCTCCAACGCCTGATTGATTTCCACTAGCACTGCTGCATAGTCAGGTGGCGGAGGAAGAGGTGCCCTTCCTCGTTGAGTGCGTGGTGAAGCGTTCCCCTCAGAGTTGTCACTGAGTACATTCGTTATGCGCCTCATGCTGCGGCGGAAGCTTTGTCGCAACAGTTTTGCGATTCTGCAAAATTTTAATATAGTGCATTTCACATTAAGCAAGTAAATATTTTAATTTGCAATAACTTTATTAACAACATATTTGTGTTAATTGAATAATTTCTATTCACAAATTTAAAAATAGGGATTTTATATCTAGTGAAAACTTGAAATATAGTAATTTTCTAATTTCTGCAAATTATGTTTAATTTTGCTACTGTTCATGTTTAATTTTTTTACCCTAGTACATGATTTACTGTTAACAAAAGTTAACAATCATTGTTTACAATGAATTATTGTTATTAATCATGAACTATTAATATTCACATTTTAATTTTAGGCATGACAAAATAGTGATGGATTAAAAATTGTGATTTTAATGATATTTTCCCCTCAGAAAGTTCAGTGAAATACTCACCGAGCACCTGTTGCTGTTGTATACGAGGGGGGAGGGGTGTACTTTGGAGGAGGGTCTTCAAACTGTGCCTCTGATGTTGTGCTTGCTTGTACATTGGCATTGGTTGTAGCCAATGCAGCTGTTCCTGAAGCATCAGATGGCTGGATTTGTTCTTGGGAATCATCACGTTCCACAGATGGACGGTACAGAAGTTGTATCCTCTACAATCATTAGTGAAGCAAAGAATAAAGGCATACACTTAACAATTTAATTGAACAACATAACTATGATGAGTTTTACATTGTGAAGAAAAACTTACATCAAATATGTCAGGAGGTCCATCTGAAAGATATCGGCAAGTCTGTACAATGCATACTAATGGTACAGCAATTATGGGTAACACCTGAATCAAACACCCAATTTCTCGACACCACAAAGGCCAGTATTCATTTCCAGTGTTTGTCCAATTATATAATTCACGGAACTTGCCCTGCTTGAATACAGTTATGCATATGACCTGGAATTAAAATAGGAAATAGTTTGATGACATTGTCAAACATTAATCATGATCAATTAACGGTTCATGCTGCTATTTCATAAAAACAATTTTTGTTTTTTTAAGGATTTTCCATTTTGTATTCCTATTTACTGTTTTATTTTTCCTTTTTTGCATGTCTTTACAAATTTTTTAATTGTAAATGAAAAAACTATTCCTTTTATACTTTTGGGGGGGATTTTATCATAATACAGATATTTAGAATTCTCTTGTTTTTTTTAGATAAATGGGAAACATTTTATTATTACTTATTTTTATTTTAAAAATTAAATTTGTTCACAGAATTGGTTGCCCTGACCGGGACTCGAACCCGGGCCTTCTGGTTTATGCCCAGCTGCTCTAACCACTAAGCTACCAAGGCAACCAATCCTTTGAACAGTGTTCATGAGCGTGATTATCTCTCCCTGAATATATAATATATAATTGTCACCATCCCGTCACCTTGTTGGACGCTGGGAATAAACCAGACGGTCCAGGTTCGAGTCCTGGTTGGGACAAACAATTCTTTGAACAAATTTAATTACTAAAATGCATTGTTACTCTGTAATGTGGTCACAATTTGGATTCTTTTACGGCTGTGGAATATATTCTCCAAGAGTAATTGCATCCACTAAAGTGATATGGTGACAATTATATATAATATTTTTATTTTGTTTTAAATTATTTTATTTCTAATAACAATTATTTTATTATCATTAAAAGAAATCAATAATTTCATAATGTCATTTATAAATTTATTTAATTCAGCCACACCCAGAAAGCTGGTTAATATTCGAGATATAACTTAACATTAATGTCTGAAGAGTGCACTGCAAATTTAATGTATTATGGAGTACTAAACACATTTTTATTTGTATTCAAATAATTTAATTTCTTGCATTTATTATTTTGCCCTACCTCAAAGTTGATTTCTTGCTGGAAGTTCACAAAGAAGAATCCTATGATCTGTTTAATTGACTATATGATGTAGTTAAGCATGAAATTGCTACCATTGCTTTGTTTTTCAATGGGATGACTTGCATTTGCAAAGTATCCAGTTTCACTTAACTAAAATAACTTATTAAGTCTCGTGTCTGTTTTGTAGGCTTTAGTGAAACAAACATAATACAATTTTCATTGTTTAAACCCTTCATATAATTTGCTATTGATTCCAGTTTTCATTTGTAAAAAATATCTCTGATCCATAAAATGAAAATTATCCAGCAATCATCAGACAATGAAGTAAATAAGTATTAGAACATAACCATAGAATAACAAACGCATGTACAAGGTGGAATTAAGATATTCATGGCAATTTGTTTCATCCCCACATTAATTTTACCAATAGCTTGTAACTAGAAGATAAATGAATACCTTAACAATTTTTCTTGCATGTTATACATGCACAGCTACTTCTATAAATATTATTTGTATTAATCGTTAATTGCAGAACAGGTTGTACTATAACAAGACTATGCTAAACTATTCTTCCGACACACCACATGTAGCAGCTCTAAAGGATGCTGCACTAGGGCAAAGACTTCATTTAGTGCTGTTACAGGATTGGTCTTTCCTAGCTTTAATTCATAGCCTGTAAAACTTTTTGCTTTGTGATTTTGCATGCGAAGAATATTAAATTTTCTTTCTTGTAAAGCAGAGAGAACATGGAATGTATGACATATCACTGTGGGAATGCTGACTTTACCAGCTTGCCAAAATTAAGACATCTCTAGAGAAATAAAGCTCTTGGACAGCAATCTGACTACGACATGTTTTGATATATACAATATTCAGAAGACATTGGTCATATGTTTATGTGACAGAAATGAATCAAATTAGGGCACTACTTTTGTTAGATTTATCTTCAATGAACATTCTTTCTTTTTTCTTACAAAAGGGCATGCCAACTGCTTCACTTACCATTAGAGCAACTGGTAGAATGACATTCCATGTAAACACAAGCATTGGAGCAGCCCAAACTTGTAAACAACCAGTTCCCTTATTGAGTAGTGTGGTCACAACGTTTTCTCCACTATATGGTCGTCCTCGAACTACAAATATTGCTCCAATTTCCAGAAGATAGAGAATCATTAACCACCATCCACAACCAACAGTGTAATCCATAAAGTACACAACAAAAATGCCAAGCTATGGATAAAAACAACATTATTTTTTGCAGGATGTTTAACTATAATATAGTGTGTTTCAAATCATTCAGTTTCTCTTCCAAAAGTACAGTAAGTGAAGTTCTCAGAAAAAATACATTCATAGAATACATTTTAAAATACTATAATAACTAACCTCAGTAGTCATTGGTAATCCAAGAATGAAGCCACATGCACAACTGAAAAATGTAATTGTTGTTTCCCATGATTTTAAGTTTGTTGCATTTATAGCCATTATTCCAGTAATAACACAGTGCCAAATAGCCAGCTGGAAGAAACAGATTAAGATAAATGTTAATATTTTTTATATTATATGTTTATTATTATTTTATTGATAATTAATTTATGAAAATTTCAATACCTGTTGTGCAATCCCAAATAGAATGAGAACAAAATAGAAAAGCACTGCCCAAAATGGGGAAACTTGATCTGCACCAAGAAGAGCAAATGTTGACGGCACAAGTTCTGTTGCGAATCGCAAAACTTGATATCCACTTTCTTGATTTGAGTTAGCACTGGATAGTATAACACGAACTCCACAAATGAAAGTTGAATGAGGCACATAGCGAACTGGCGTTTTCACAAATGCTGGTTGAAGACCACCCGTGCGAAGAAATGCGTATGTTCTCATGTGCTCTACAAAGAAAGTAGTTGGCGTATTATTACGTGTGACATTTGTATTTTATTTTAAAGACAGAAAATTATTATAATTTAACTTTACCACTTGGTGTGGTATATAAAAGTAATAATGTAAGTTATTTTATAATAATTTTCTGTCTTTAAAATAAGAGTCAAATATAGTCCGACTAATTTAAAAAGTCTATAGGCAGAAAAGATAATAATAATCTTAATTTGTGTAAATGCTCTTGAAGTTTTAGATAGATAAGCATTACTATATTGCATTTGATTGTTTCTATCCAATCCCTAAACTATTGTCACGTTCATAAAAATATTTGTTTCATAACAAGGTGGCAGATTTAATAAAATGTCATTTTTTTCTTTTCACTCTAGCACAATTCTGTTTAGTATAGAAATTAGTTTTATGTTATGGGGAAACGAAATAAGTCATTTTTATATGTCCTTTTTTATTTTTATTTTTGTTGTGGTTTTTTATTTATTTATTTTGCATTTTTCATCAATTTTTACTAATACGCCATTTTTCATGTATTTTTTGTTGATTTCACTGATTTTAATATTATTTGAATGGTACTTGCTTCAAACAGTACTTACAAGTGTAACAAATGTTCACCACAAAATTCCTAAGTAGCCTATTCGATTTCTTCCCTCAAATATTGTAACATCAGCCATGCAGAGTACTGTGGAATCTAAGGTTCCTGTGCTGCCTATTAGCACCATTGTCAGTTCTGCCTATTTTGCAATTAATAAAGGCTGAGATTTTCTTTTAAAGAACAGTCCTAACCAAAAGTTTGCAAGCTTAGTTCACTTGAACAAAAGGAAGAAGCCTCTATTTCATTAATACCATATCCAACAGCTTGAGTTGTTCATCTGAAGTGGTTATAATTTTTTTTTTTAGGGCATCTTTAAGGCATTTTAAGAGCATTTTATTGATCATATTTGGCAATGTTTTAGGTCATCAAAATCCAACCCCTAATCATAACAAAGATTTCAATTTGGCTGCTTTAATGAAAATTATTTTATTTAATTACAGAAATATTGTCATAATAATAATTCTATCACTATTAAACCATTCATTCTTACCAAAGGAGCTGGGAACATATGTATACCCATGTGCTGCAAGCAACTGGACACAAGTATTGGCAAGGAAAGCTGCCAATAATAATATGGCCAATGTTAAAATAACCACAAGGCTCACATCTCTTTGCAAGAGATGCTTATGCCTGTTGTGAGATGATATTTGCATCATAGCTGCACCTAATAACCCCCACGTGAAGAAAGCTTCTGTTGTTGCGGCAACCCAACACTGAAAATTTCAAAGTAAAATTTAAAATTACATTCCTGTATTACATACAGAAATGACAAAAATATTGAAGAAATCAATTACCTTAGTATTAAGGAAGAATTCATTCCATACAGTTTCTGGAAACACTTGGTTGCTTCCAGTACTAGGAGTCAAGCCAAGCAGTTTTGTACAGAGTATTAACATACCAAAGACTGGGAATAGAGAAAATACATAGACGACTTTCCCATATGACTTGAGACCTGTTAAAATAAAATTCTGTTAGGATAGAAAATTATGGAGGGATCATAAAACAATTAAGTGTTTTGAATTTCTCATACCTTTACTAAGAGAAACAAATACAATCATCCAGACAACAGCTAAATTAAATGTCACTTGAAATTTGAGATGGCCAAATGTGTTTTCAGAACTAGCAAGTCCATGACGTTGGAGAACAACACCGCTCAGATAATCCGGTACAGTGTCTTCCAGTTTGGTGCCGTTATCAGATGGCACCGAATCTGAGAAGAGTATTTGAGAGAGTTACAATTGAGCATTAATAAAACTTTATTCTGTGTGACACTTAATGATTTTATCTTAACCATTATATGTAATGTCTCTCTGCTCAACTTATGTAATTTTGCTAGTAAATGCAAACAATTAAATGCCTAAGCATCATAACTTCTAATTTCTTTTGTTACACTTTCAATTTATATTTCACATTTATTCACAACAATTAAACATTCATCACACTTCTAAAGAAAGTTTCTTTTATTTGAGGTGTCTTACATAAATTTCATAACGCTAAAGAGGGTTTGAGGAAGCATTGTCCTGTGTTACTCAGGGAAAGGGGGATATTCATTTAGCATTCCCTAAAGCTGATATTTACAATTTTTAAGATTTTTCAACATTTGTTGAAATACATCCTTTTTTGAGTGTTACACTTAAACATTAAAACATTAACTAATTACATAGATTTAAAAACCAATAAATTAAAATCATTAAAAGTTGTTACAATAAAGACATTTAAAAGAGAATTTTATCATTTATTTATTGAATCTGAAAGATCACAAAGAAAACATTCAAAACTGATGTGTTAGTATATTTTAGAATCTAATTAAATTGGCACAGTAGACTCTCGCCCATGTGCCATCCTCAACAGCATATGCATGTGATTAGAAATCGTTTCGCTTATGTGTCCTTTCACTCAAAACTTGCCTCTAATCTTGTTAGGTGCAGTCAGCATCACCAACTAATTCTGAATTTAATTATCATACATTTTAATATATAACGCAAATAAAATAAATACAACTTGTTTTTATTGTGCTATAATTGTTGTTGCAAGCATAACGTAATTATTTGGGGAGTTGAAGCACATTATGGGAGCATTATAGGATGCATCACCATATGCATCACCATATATATGCATCACCATATATATGCATCACCATATATATGCATCACCATATATATGGACAGTCCCTTAAATAGTTAAATTGGAAGACAATTGACATTCCCTACTTCACAGTAATATCTGTTACAACTCACTGATAGTGATGCCAAAAAATTTTGGATGGTATTAAGCAGACAATGACAAAAGAAAAATTCACAAGCCTTATCATTTTGTTTTTTGCTTCAAATTTAGGAAATATCCATTATATTTTTTGAAATTGCAACAAGTCCAAGAGAGTCATTACACACAGCTTATAAGTTTTAAATGTTTTGAAATAGTCTGATTTAGAAAAATTGCAATGACCACAACACAATGACATGACCTTCAATAAAGGGGTCATAAAAAGGGTTGAAAAGTAGTTACTTACCATGGTACAGATCAAATGGCTCAGCCCACCGATATCTGTCCTGCTTAGTTATGAAAGAATCTCTGAAGTAAATGAACATCCAGGAAACTCCAACAATACTGTAGATGCCAATTAGTGCTTGAGAAACCAAGAGTGCAATACCTATTCCCTGAAAACAAAATGGCAAGACCATCAAAATGATTGCCAATGTATTGATATATCTATATCATTACTTTATATATTTAAACAGTAATCAAAAACACCCTTAAAAAAAATAAAAATAGAGTTACTAATTCAAACATTTCCTTGACCAACATCGAATCTTTTCATATTCTGTTTCAATTCAACTTTTTTGGCATGTTCACTTAACAATGATAAGGTATGATCTTCATAAAAATAAACTAAAATCAAAGAGATCAGCCCCCTCTTTTTTTTTTTTTT